TTGTTCAGTTGAATTGTAATATTAAATGATTATTTAAACTGGGATGATTGGTCTGAATTAATTTAGTCGGTATCACATTCTAGCAACGAAAGTGCCATTGATGCACAACGTCAGTATGATACATTATAGTCAACATATGCACATTTAAGTTGTTTTATTTACAGTACAGACTTCATAGAAAATCAGTCAATAGTTAAAATATAATTAGCTCAAACAAAGTAGTCAGACTTAAAGTAAAAACAAGCTGACACAAAACCGTTCTTAATTATGAATATAGAAAACAAACATCACAAATAAAACACAAAAACCTCTTTAAAAAGACTGTTTCATGGTAATCAAGCTGTAGACTTTGAAGGCTGGTGTTAGGACAAAGCAAAAACCATGTTAGAAAGGACTCAAAGAATCTTTGAGCAGCATGTTGCTTCTTTCATCTCACTTTACTCTGATAACGGCGAGTTCATCTGTAAAGCAAAACAGAGAACAGCATCATCAGCAGAACACATGGAGGACTCTTACAAAGCCAAAGGAAAGAGTAGATGAGCAGTTGAGTTTTCTGGAAACATTGGAGTGTTCACTTGGATTAAAAAAAGAAAGCCCAAAACTGATTTTATATGATTAGAACAGGGCAGAAGATCATCAAGACGCTAACACAAAATATTTACTGTGGCAGATTGACATAACCCTAACCATCATTTATGCTGGTTAGTCCAGTATTATGCTAATTTTATTTCCATTGTAGTAACACTGTACCTTTTTTCATATAGCATTGGCACTACAACGTTAGCACAAATATCAAATGAAAACACAAGTTGTACTATCATTTATTCTTGTGAAGGCTTCAGCCCCGGCCTTCACCATGTCAGGGCCTTCTTTTGTTTTCTTTGTTCATGTGTGTAGATTTAAGTTGTAGATAAGATGTTAGGTATTTGGTTTGACATTGGACATACACAGTGAAACATGCACATTTGGTTAATTTTGTATTGTTAATGTGTGTAAACTTTCTTTTTAAGTTACCATGTTCCTGGTCCATGGATTGGGTGGTCCCGACAAAAACATGGGCAGGTTTAAATACCTCCCACTAGGCCTGGACTGTACCAAGTGTCCAATATAAGAAGGGGGGAGTTTGGGAGAACTGTTTGTTTGTTTGTTGTTTTTGTTAAAAGTTATGCTTTTTTTACATTTAAAGAAAATTATTTAGTTGTTCGCAGACTGTCTGTTCAGTGTTTATTGATAGATTATTTAGTTAGTGTCTTTGTCCATCCCCTGTGTGTTATTGGTTTGGCCAGCCAGTATATATGTTCCCCTATTTGTTAGCTTAGTTGTTTTTTGTAGTAATGTGCAGTTCAGTTTGCTGTATTTTGAGTTTCCTGATCTTTTGTCGATCTGTTTTAGGATCCACTTTATTTGATATTGATGTTGTTTGCATGTTTTTCTTATTTTTTGAGGAAAATAAAAAAGCCCATCTTTTTTGGAACTTTAAAAACTCTGTCCTCTGCAATTCTATTATCATTATTAATTTTTATTTTATCTCTTTTCTTAAACCTGTATCTGAGTGACTTTATACCTGACTTTTAACTCGTCAGTACAAGGATAAAGTTGGTGTTATTCTATATTTTTCCTATTGTCAGCAAATCCCATGAAAAGACCAAAACCAACAGTCAGTGGCATTGTAGCTTATATCAAACAAGAGGAAAAAGAGCATTTGCTTGGGACTAGTTTCAGTTGCAGATTAACACACACTTGGCGAACCAAAGAATATTTACAACAGCAGTATAAGGTGCTTGGGATTGAGTCAAAATAAACTACAGTGTGTGGGTTCACGGCAATAAAGGAACACGCCACCCAGTGCAACACTGTGGCTCGCTGATGCTGTATGTTTTTAATACCTTTTGTACAAAGTGGTTTTATGGCACAGCACAGATGAATAAAATATATAAGGCTACACACACACTACTGCCTAGTAGCATCAGTCCATTGGTGGTTTTGTTCTTTTTATGGCATGTAGACATCATACAGTCCATTGAATACAGAAGCCTGCAAACTTACATTGTCAATGTCGAAGCACAGGTGTTCGCTGAGCATGTCAAACTCCCCAGGAGTCATTGGGGGCTCAGGAGACTGGCAAGGAGGTGGTGTGGTGCTTGCATTAGAGCTGCGATAACAGGGAAAGGGAGACAGTAAAGGTGACCGACTGCTTTTCACCAGTGGAAATGCATTTACTAAATAATTTTCCATTTTCTCATAACATGCTGTGGGTTGCACTGACTGCAGAAGAAATGTGCCATTATCAATATTTATTCCCCAGCTCCCCTCCTTGAACCGCCACCTTATTGTGGTGGAGGGGTTTGAGTACCCGAGTGATCCTAGGAGCTATGTTGTCGGGGGCTATATGTCCCTGGTAGGGTCTCCCAAGGCAAACAGGTCCTGGGTGACGAGTCAGACTAAGAGTGGTTCAAAAGCCCTTTATGAATAGATTAAAATACAGGACCGTGACGTTGCCCGGCATGGCGCAGCCGGGGCACCACCCTGGAGCCAGGCCCGGGGTTGGGGCTCGAATGTGAGCACCTGGGCTTAGCCCGAACGAGTGACGTGGGGACGTCCTCCCGTGGGCCCACCACCTGCAGGAGGACCCGTAAGGGGCTGGTGCACAGTGGATCGGGCAGCAGTCAAAGGCAGGGGCCCTGACGACCCGATCTCTGGACACGGAGACCTGCCCTGGGGACATGGAATGTCACCTCGCTGGTGGGGAAGGAGCCCGAGCTTGTGCAAGAGGTTGAGAGGTACTGGCTAAATATAGTCGGGCTCACCTCCACGCACAGCTTGGGCTCTGGAACCTTACTCCTCAAGATAGGCTGGACTCTCTACTATTCTGGAGTTGCCCGCGGTGAGAGGCCGCTGGCTGGTGTGGGCTTGCTCATAGCTCCCCAGCTTAGCCGCCATGTGTTGGAGTTTACCCCAATGAACGAGAAGGTCGTTTCCCTGCACCTTCGGGCCAGGGATAGGTCTCTCACTGCCGTTTGTGCCTACAGGCCAAATGGCAGTGTAGAGTCCCCGGCCTTCTTGGAGTCCCTGGGAGGGGTGCTGGAAAAGGCCCCGACTGGGGACTCCGTTGTTCTACTGGAAAATAAACTACAGTGTGTGGGTTCACGGCAATAAAGGAACACGCCACCCAGTGCAACACTGTGGCTCGCTGATGCTGTATGTTTTTAATACCTTTTGTACAAAGTGGTTTTATGGCACAGCACAGATGAATAAAATATATAAGGCTACACACACACTACTGCCTAGTAGCATCAGTCCATTGTTGGTTTTGTTCTTTTTATGGCATGTAGACATCATACAGTCCATTGAATACAGAAGCCTGCAAACTTACATTGTCAATGTCGAAGCACAGGTGTTCGCTGAGCATGTCAAACTCCCCAGGAGTCATCGGGGGCTCAGGAGACTGGCAAGGAGGTGGTGTGGTGCTTGCATTAGAGCTGCGATAACAGGGAAAGGGAGACAGTAAAGGTGACCGACTGCTTTTCACCAGTGGAAATGCATTTACTAAATAATTTTCCATTTTCTCATAACATGCTGTGGGTTGCACTGACTGCAGAAGAAATGTGCCATTATCAATATTTATTCCCCAGCTTTGGTCCAATAACTAAATGCCAGGGTAAAATTATGATAAAGAATTTACAAAAAAGTTACTTTAATACAAAGTGAGTTGAGTGAGGGTCTCATTTAATCTGCAAATGAACTCACCGCATCTCCGAGATGGGGATCAGGGTAGATGGTATGTATGGGTAAACTGGAAATTTAACAAAGATGTGAGCGAAGTCAGTGCTGTAGCTTACAGTCGAGTCAGCCAACTAACATTCAAAACATGCACTGAAAAAACATGAACTCTAAATGACAGAATGGCATTGCGCTCTTGCCTTTGTTAGGCTGATTGTTGTAAAGCCGTCCAAAGGCCTCGTTTTTGGGGATGTCAGGGTAGAGGAACTTGAGCGGGTTCTCTGGGACCACTCCGTCTGAGATCACTTTGTAGTCTCGTATGATGTCAGCAAATGGGAGAGCACTAAGCCGGTTTTTAGTGTATGGCTCCACAGAGTTGAACTTCACATCTCCTGTCAAGTATAACATTAGGTCAAGTAAAGGTGACAGCCCACCTGGAATATTTAACTGGAACTGATCTTTGACAAAAAGTCTGTAAAAATACTTTGTAATGATCAGTGTCTACTTAGGATCCCAATGTATGGGGTTTTCAACCAAAATAATTATTGTACTAGCAAACAAAAAAGGTCTAGTTTATTTTAACGACAAGTGGTCCGATGGAAATATACCTGACAGAGACCTCACCATTCTCATTGTGGTCCACCCAGGTAAAGGTGATTCCTCCAAGGTGACTCTCGCTGAAGCGTAAGAGGAAGGTGCCTGGCTCTCTGTCCTTCAGCAGAGTGCGCTCCATCTCTTTACTCACAAAGCCCATGATGTAGCTACATGGATGTAAAAATATAAAAAAATAACTTTTATTCTTTGCCCTTAATGATTTGCCAGTATCACACTGTAACATTGTACTAACATTTTAACAAATCAGTCGTCTACATCAGTTGTTGTTGAGTGGCAGACAACCAAGCAATCTGGTAGACTTGGAACAAGTAGGTCATGAAGAATGACCTAAAATTACAAATGCTTTGACTCTTTTTGCCATTTCAGAGTAAGGGGATTGAAACTTTTACACTCAGCTCTATGTGCAGGAGCAGTCCTGTTATACAGCAGAGAAGGTGTGTGGCGGAAGAGAAAAGGTGAAAAGTGTAGTGAGCCAGTGACTTACTTCTCAGTCCAGACTGGCAGCAAGTGCTTCTTGATAAGCTCTAGGATGGAGTCCAACCACATCCAGAAACTGAAGGGCTTTCCTGGAATATTCTCCTTTAATACCATACAACACATGGAAAAGGTACTATGAGTGCTAATCTGACATTTAAACATCACATTATATATCTAATATAAATATGAAACGAAATAAAAAATACAGTATAGTCATGTACAGGATGGGACACAGAACATTTCTTCTCATTGACCACTAGATGGCACAACCATATTGGTGATGTGTTTATATCATTTAATTTAAAGGGATTTACTTACTTTACAGAACCTAGACCAGGACACTTGATAGTCACTACAGGAGGCGTGCTGACCTACAGAAACATACAATAAATAACAAATTTTAACATTTATTATACCACTGTTGCCTGAATTTGTTTCATTTTTTGTTTTATGCAGCCTTTTCTTCTTCTTCTTTTTTCAGCCATTCCAAAATCTGCAGCCACCATGTTGGAAAATTCAAGGCTCGTATACCAAGAAGCTTTTCTCCCAGCATGGTGAGCTGTTCCTTGTTGAGACCCCGACCAGCAAAAGTGGAGAACTGCCAGCTGAGGACTTCAGAGAGCTGGCTCCAGCTGGCCCGAGGTGGGTTTCCAAAGAATGCCAAGTTCTGTAAAGGGAGAGGAAAACAGCAGGAAAGGGGATAGAGGAGGACAGTGGTAATGTGAAATCTTTTTCAAGACATCTCTCAATATAATGCAATACCATTACAGTCTCAAAGGTTGAGTCAACACCTCTCTACAAACAGTCAAACCTTCATGATTTATCGGTGGAGTAGACTGCATTAGCTTTAGCTAGGCATACTAGAGCAGTAAACTGGCAACTTGCACTTTCCATTTTTTTGAAGACAGTTAAAACACTTTTTTGTCAAAATCTGTTTTCTCACCCTCGGCTCATCTGTCAGAAGGTTATACCACATGACAGAGGCCCAGGAAACTTTTACACTCAGCTCTATGTGCAGGAGCAGTCCTGTTATACAGCAGAGAAGGTGTGTGGCGGAAGAGAAAAGGTGAAAAGTGTAGTGAGCCAGTGACTTACTTCTCAGTCCAGACTGGCAGCAAGTGCTTCTTGATAAGCTCTAGGATGGAGTCCAACCACATCCAGAAACTGAAGGGCTTTCCTGGAATATTCTCCTTTAATACCATACAACACATGGAAAAGGTACTATGAGTGCTAATCTGACATTTAAACATCACATTATATATCTAATATAAATATGAAACGAAATAAAAAATACAGTATAGTCATGTACAGGATGGGACACAGAACATTTCTTCTCATTGACCACTAGATGGCACAACCATATTGGTGATGTGTTTATATCATTTAATTTAAAGGGATTTACTTACTTTACAGAACCTAGACCAGGACACTTGATAGTCACTACAGGAGGCGTGCTGACCTACAGAAACATACAATAAAAAACAAATTTTAACATTTATTATACCACTGTTGCCTGAATTTGTTTCATTTTTTGTTTTATGCAGCCTTTTCTTCTTCTTCTTTTTTCAGCCATTCCAAAATCTGCAGCCACCATGTTGGAAAATTCAAGGCTCGTATACCAAGAAGCTTTTCTCCCAGCATGGTGAGCTGTTCCTTGTTGAGACCCCGACCAGCAAAAGTGGAGAACTGCCAGCTGAGGACTTCAGAGAGCTGGCTCCAGCTGGCCCGAGGTGGGTTTCCAAAGAATGCCAAGTTCTGTAAAGGGAGAGGAAAACAGCAGGAAAGGGGATAGAGGAGGACAGTGGTGATGTGAAATCTTTTTCAAGACATCTCTCAATATAATGCAATACGATTACAATCTCAAAGGTTGAGTCAACACCTCTCTACAAACAGTCAAACCTTCATGATTTATCGGTGGAGTAGACTGCATTAGCTTTAGCTAGGCATACTAGAGCAGTAAACTGGCAACTTGCACTTTCCATTTTTTTGAAGACAGTTAAAACACTTTTTTGTCAAAATCTGTTTTCTCACCCTCGGCTCATCTGTCAGAAGGTTATACCACATGACAGAGGCCCAGCCTCCAGGCAGCTGGCTCACGTTGGAAATGACCACCAGTGGCAGAGAACACGTCTGAAAGGATTCACATGTACAATGAGCAAGACGTGTCAACAACAACAGCCAAACATCAAGACAAATAAATGCCTCTTCTGACCTCGAGATCAATGGTGAGGCCCTGCACTGTGAAGCAAGCCTCGAAACTGAGAGAGTGGAGTTCTTCTGTGACAGAGAGGAGACTCTGCAAAACACACAAACCACACATCCATTGCAGACAACACTCTCCTCTTCACTGCACTATGACATTTAAATGATGAAGCTCACTGTGCATGACAATTTAAAAATAATGAATCAGTCAGTAATAGCAAAGAACCTTATTTGAATAACAGTTTATTTTGCTTTTAATTTATTTTTATGAGAACATAACGCACAAACACATTAACGCTTTACAGTAACAGAGCACTTCTATTACATTAATGGTGACCTCATCTGCATTTCTTACCTCATTCCCCTTTGTGCCATTGATATATTTCTTCTCTTTCAGTTGCTATAACATACAAACACAGTGTCAGTTGGCTTAAAATAAACAAAACAAAATGATATTCAATAAATCACTGCTGACATATTGGCTAGTGGTTTATACGTGCATATGGCAACAATAAGCTAATTCAGTGGCTTTTCATAAAGTTATGGGAAAAACAGCTTTTCAAGCAAAGGAGGACTGGTTATCTGTTCTTCCTACATGTTGGTATTTTTCAGTAATAATTGACACATAAGTATTTAATCAGGCAGTGATGGGGTTGTCGTACCAGGTGTCTGAACTCCACTGAGAGGCAGCCATTGGAGTAGTCCTCAATGTCCATAACTTTAGTGTTGTTGGTCAGGATGAAAAACTGACGACTTCTGAGGGGAAAAAGAAAATTAAAAAAAAGGCTGGAGAAAGTTTTTAGATAATACAATTCAGACATAGCTGCTCAAATCAGAAAGGTGAAGTTCTGAATACTGCAACTTTAAACACTAGAGACTTATGAGTGCATTCTTAGGACTTTCTTTAAATAAACAGTAAAACAACTTGATTTCAGATTATTGTAACGGCTATCAAACCTGAGCTACAGGACTTAAACAAGTCATGGTCCTGGAGTGACATGAATGACCATGTAAATATTCAAATATAATAAAACACTTCTAGAAACCAACATGTAGAAGTTTTATGATAAAAAAAAATGCAGAAAATAGCTTTTCAGTTTTTAAATATTTTGTAGGAAATTAAAAGAAACATTTGTTGGAAAAAGAAGGTTTATTGTAATGTGTTAGGTAACAAAAGAAATATAAGCTACTGCCTCTATCTGTGCTAAAATTAAACCCCAGCTGCACATCCTGTTTCAACACTGTTTGTACTCACACTCTGCCAGGGGGGAGGTCCCTAAAAACACAAACACACACATATATAGATTAGTGCCCAGACAAGTTCATCTGTAGGAGGCAGGACTTTTAATGTAGAAAATGGGTAGAAAAACAGAATACTTTATAATAATGTACTCTTATAGGAAATGGTTGTTGTTGTTGTTGTTGTTTTGCCAAAAAAAGTAATTATAAAAATCTCACTTGTCAAATGTGGTTTTGACTTTCAGCTGATAATCCACCTCTGGAAGTTTAACCAGCAGTCTGGGAGAAATCAGGATGGAACAAATGTTCTCACCAAGATAAAAATGAAGACATGAAAAATGCAAGATATGATTTAAAGGCAGGTCACGTTCTATGTTGATAAAATTTTCTCCATACAGAGACTAAAACCGACAATGAGTTGCCTCTACTCACGGTTAATGTCCATCAGTCCTGGATTAGTTTTTTTGTCTGTGCCATAGCTCTCCATTGTTCAAAAACAACCAAAAACACATCAGTGAAACATGCCGCTGTACAGCGTGACACGTTTCTTCATTAGCAAAGCCAGACCTGAGTGTGAGGAGCTATCAGAATGTAAACAAAGCTGAGAGCTCACACAAGAGCTCATACACAGTTGACTCTGACTCAAGCTAACGTCAGGAAACTATGGCCACACGGAGACTTTGGGCCAACATAGTCGGGTCTGGTGTTTTGTTATTTAAAAAAAGAAAATGTGTCACCTACTGCAGCGGTGTAGTCCCCTGATGTGTTTTTGAACAACAGAGACCTATGCCACAGACAAACAAGCTGAACCAGGACTGACAGCTGAAGGTCATTAACCATGTGTGGAGGCGATTCATTGTCAGTTTTAGTCTCTGTATGGAGATGGCTGAATATACTATTAATATAGAAAATGACCAGCTTTATCCTTTGACTAAACACTGAGGTTTAAATAGGGAAAACAAATATAGCAGAAAAAAACCTGGCAGCATATCAGGTTATATAATGATACCTGACTTTGGTGGTGAACTGTACTCCAGTCTTGATAATGAGGGGTTTCTGTGGATGTGTGGGCATGCATGGTTGCTTCTCCACCACAAATGAGCTAGAAAACAAACCCACACCTCATTAGAGTTTTTATCATGTTCACCTCTCTCAACAGGCACCTTAGTGAGAGGTCACTGAAGGTTGTTTGTCCTTTATTTAGCACTTTTCTATGTTGGTTAATGTAGTGCACAAAGGAGGAAGTTTTGATTTGATTTGATTTGATTTGATTTGATTTGATTTGATTTGATTTATTCTTTCAAACATGTAACAACAGTCAATATGTCAACACACATAATTCCACACATATCCACAAATATATTTTCAATTTGCTTATACCTAGTACATGCTTGAACGGAGTAGGAAGACGTTAGACTTATCTAGTCCTACCCCATGACATCATCTTATCATCATTGGTTTGCAAGCAGTATTACTACATGGATAATTTTGTTCTACACCACGCTAGTGATATACTAAAAACACCACACTCCCAATGTTACACCTGATTAATCATTAAGCCTGTTCTTGCCCATATCTTGATTGACACATACCTTTATATTTGTGTTTAAACTCATCAATTTTCTTACTATTTTTTATGTCCACATTTAAATTATTCCATAGTTTTACCCCACTATGGAAATACAAAATCTTTTTTTGGTTGTTCGCATAACATGAATTTTATAATTTAACTGACCCCTTAAATTGTATCCCCCTTCCCTTTCATTAAATAGTTTTGAATTCCACCAGGTAATAAATTGTT